AATAAAAAAAACATATAAGAGAAAAATAAATAAATAAAAATAAGAAAAAAACTAAAAAAAAACAATAAAAAAAACAAAATAAAAAGGGAACATTTCTTTAAAGAGGATAGACAAATGGCTTAAGGCTTCAAATGGAACATGATTCTGCGGGATATCTGTTCTTTTTCCTAACTCATTTACCTGTTTTTCTTTGTTTTTATATACAGGAACAAAAGTATTCTGAGCAAATAAATGAGCTGGAGGGACGTTTCTATCAGAAATCCAAAGAAATTGGCATGATTCAGACAGAGCTAAAAACAATAAAACAATTCCAAAAACGAAAAATCCAAGTGGAGAAAGAATTAGATGATGTAAGTTTCTTTCTTTTTAAAAGGAGGTTAGAATTAACTACTATGTCTGCAAAAGCCTTCACTGACATTTACTCATGTAAGATGGTAAAGGGATTTTTTTTTTTTTACAATAAAAGTGTAAGACATCAGTTTAGGGCTGGATACAAAAGGTCTTGATGGCTCCCTGGCTTTTCTTTTTCTAAGCATTGATTCCTTTGTAAATTAACCAAATCTTAGCCAGCACATAACTCCCACATTTATCAGCAGTCAAAATTTTAGAGTAACTTCAATAAGAAACAAACTACAGTTCTTTGAAAACAGTAGGGGCAAAGTAGCAAAGTCCTAAAGGAAAATATGTTTAGACGGATGAATGATAATTTTAGAAAATTTTAAAAGGCTCTCTGGGTAGGTGTGGGTGAGATGAAGAAAACAGTACTTTTAGAAAATTCCTCTGACCTTGCTATGCTCTTTCTCTTACTTTCCATCCTCTCATCTCAGAATATAGTTTTATTGCATTGATCATAATGCAACAAATGTCATAGATGAGTGCCAGGAATAAGTAGCTGACTTTGGGCAAGCTACTTAACCTCTCTATACCTTGGTTTTCTCATCTGTAAAATGAGGAGAATAAGAGTCTTATAGTGTTATTTTAAGGACTGAGTTCTTATATGGAAAGTGTTTAAAATAGTGTATTTGACACAGAATTATATTAACAGTGGTGTGTAGCTCTCTGAAAAAAATAAGATTATTAGCCAAAAAAAGTAATTTTCTGTGTCCCCATAGCATTTTGTATCTTTTTATACCACTTAGCCTATTCTATCTTGATATTATAGTTATCATTTGTTTTATCTCCCCTAGTGGATTGTAAATACTTCAAAGTACAAACAGTGTTGTCCTTTGTATTCATCAAAAATACAAGATAAACAGTAATTTAGCTCAATAAATATTTGTTAAATGCCGAGTGGGTCTTTTCATTAAAAATGTAATTGGAGGGAACCCTGCCGGTGTGGCTCAGTGGTTGAGCATCGACCTATGAACCAGGAGGTCATGGTTCGATTCCTGGTCAGGGCACATGCCCAGGTTTCGGGCTCTATTCCCAGTGTGGGGCATGCAGGAGGCAGCCAGTCAATGATTCTCTCATCATTAATGTTTCTCTCTCCCCCTCTCCCTTCCTCTCTCTCTCAAAAAAAAAAGTAATTGAAGGGATATCAACTTTTCTTTTAATTAGATGGGAGGACCCTTTTCACAATGTATACATATATCAAATAATCACTATGTACACTTGAAATACTTTACAATTTTGTCATTTATGCCTCAATAAAACTGAAAAAGAAAAGTTTAGAAGGAATATTAAGTTCTGTTTTATATGAAAATGCTGCATATTGAATCAAATTAAGTTCCTTAACTTTTCAGGAACTCTCAAAATAAACATTCTATGTGGAGGTATACATTCTGAATCAAAGTGAATGAGGAACTAGTTCATAATCTAGTGGGATGCAGTGGGAATTTTTTTAAGAACAATGTTGCCACCTAGGGGACAAATAGATTTCATATCTCTTCAAAGAGGACTGTTGGGCCAGGAAGACTTAAAATTCAAAGGCTTATGGGGAAAAATAAGGTGGTTCTGTGGAATATGGAAGAATTAAGGCAGGTGTGGAGGCCTGTGAACTTAAAATCAAGGGGAGAGGTAATACATAAATGAAGAAAATTAATTATACTGGGTAATAAAATTCACTGTATACATTTAAAAGAGGCTAATTACATTTAGATTATAAAAAGGTAGGCAAAACATATATTTTAAAGAAAACAAAATTCTATCCACCTGATTAGCAGAAGAAGCATACATTGGTAGGTTGCAGTTTTTTTTCCCTCATAAATTTTTTTGTCTTTGTTTTTGACAAAATGATGATACCCATTTCAGCAAATTTAGCTGATAAAAAAAGTTGTCCTCTCCCCACCACACACACAAACACCTAGAGATAGCCATTGAATCCTATATAATAAAAGGGTAATATGCAAATTGACCCTAACAGCAGAACGACTGGGAATGACTGGTCACTATGACACACACTGACCACCAGGGGGCAGATGCTCAATGCAGGAGCTGCCCCCTGGTGGTCAGTGTGCTCCCACAGGGGGAGCTCTGCTCAGCCACAAGCCAGGCTGATGGCTGCCAGTATAGTGGTGGTGGTGGGAGCCTCTCCCGCCTCCTCAGCAGCACTAAGGATGTCCGATTGCCGCTAGGCCTGCTCCCCGCTGGCAAGTGGACATCCCCCAAGGGCTTCCGGGCTGCCAGAGGGATGTCTGACTTCCAGCTTAGGCCCAATCCCCCGGGGAGCGGGCCTAAGCCAGCAGGTGGCCATCCCCCGAGGGGTCCCAGACTGCCACCAGGCCTCTAGTATTTTCATAAAAATGCAATGTAGAAATAAATAAAAGACAGTAATAAAAGACAAAGATGCTAATTGACCATACCTTCGCTATGCCCCAAGCCACGCCCACCAGCCAATCAGAGTGACTATATGCAAATTAACCCAACCAAGATGGCAGCCAGCAGCCATGGAGCTAGAGCAAGCAGGAGGCTTGGTTGGCCCGGCGATGGAGGAAGCCAAGCTTCCCACCAGCCCTGAGCCGGCTGTGGCCTCTGCTAAAGGCAACAAAGTTTCAATTATAGAAGATAAATAAA